TCCAGATCACCCCCGTAATTTGCATCACTAAAGATATTTGAAATATTCGATTCTGATGAATTTGCTTTATTATACAATCCTAAGTCAATAGTGCCACGTAAATACTGAAATAAACGTTTAACTGCACGCCAATCGGATATTTTAGGCGAATTAAGTTTCTCGGATAAAACACTTACGCTATATCTGGACGTTACAACCATTAAAAACATCAGTCTTCCAATGACCTCACGGTAAGGTATATTTTCATTTACATTTTCATCAGCAATAGATATATTTTTCACAAAATTTGAATCCTGAATATTTAAACGAGTTAAAATTTTTGCTATATATGCACTCTGATTTACAAAAATACCTTTATCCATCTCTTTTATTTGTAAACTGAGAAAACTATCCAATGAACACATAATAATTTTAAAATTTTTTTTAAGTTGTTGATAAATTTCATCATCTCACACTCCTTACTGCAAGTCACGAGTCCATCATCCATGTAAATTACTACAATTAATATCTGGTTATTCTTCATAAGTATAAGTAAACATGGGTCAGCTGACTATTTATCATTTCTTAATTTCTGATGAAATTTGCAAACCGCTTGTTCCAACATCGTGGAGACTGTTTTAAATTTACCTAAACTAGTAAAATGGCACAGACTGGAAAAACTTTAAAATCAACCTAGTCGAACTAATTGATCTCTTGATTCCATTAATAACTGAAGAACAATTAAATCAAGAAGTTGAACTTTTTGTTAAAAATATTCAACAAGCAGCGTGCGAAAACAGTCCTGAGATTAAAGGTAATAATTATCCAAATTATCAGAAATATTATCTCAGGAAAAAGCAAAATTAGAAGAAAATAGCAACAGTGCAAAAAGCAAACAGATTTGCGGAATATTTAGAGCAGGCCTGCACAATTCAGATTTTTAAAGGACCAGTTTGAGAATCCGTAAGTGTACGAAGGCCAAGAGAGGCCTGAGCCTATCGTGATCTGTTCAGAAAGAAAAAGTCGTCAGCCTAAATGTAAGTTTGTTACTGAAAAATGTATAGTTTGACGTAGGCGGGCCAAACTGGTCAATCGCCAATGGGCCGCCAAAACGACAATGGCGGGCCGTATGTTGTGCAGGCCTGATTTAGAGAGTACCTTCCAACCCAATAATGGTGAATATCTTCAAGACTCGATGGAACTAGCACAAGACACAGTCGTTAAACCCACCTCTCCAAAAGAAGTTTATATGGAAATCCAAACAAATATAAATCCGAAAAAAGCCCCTGGATTTGATCTCATTACTGGGAAAATTTTGAAAATGCTTCCACGAAAAGCTATTGTCAAAATTGCCAATCTCATCAATGCGTCCTTTAAACTGAAGTACGTACTAAAGATGTGGAAGGTGGCAGAAGTTATAATGCATACCTAAGCCAGGTAAACTTCCCAATGAAATTACATCGTACAGACCCATCTCCTTGTTATCTGTTATCTCGAAACTCTATCAAAAATTGCTTCTTAAGAGATTAAAACCTATAATGGAAGAAAATGACCTAACACCCTCCCACCAGTTTGGCTTTAGAGAAAAACCCTCGACCATCGACCAAGTTCATAGAATAACAGATATCATTGAAAAGTCCCAAGAAGAAAAAAGTTTGCTCCACCGTCTTTTTGGATGTGGCTCAGGCTTTCGACAAAGTATGGCATAAAGGCCTGATTTAACTTCAGCAATAAACAAAATTAATATATTCATATTAGAATAAACGACACTCAGGTCCCTTTTGCCAATACAGCAAAATATCTGGGTATGACACTTGATGCGAAGAGCTTGGTATAAAATACAAAAAAATGTATTGGTTGCTAGGAAAAAATTCCAAATTATCCACATACAACAAACTGCTTCTTTACAGATAGATATTGAAACTCATATAGACGTATGGCATCCAGCTTTAGGGCTGCGCTAGTAAAAGTATTATCCAAATTAATCAACGTATCCAAAATAAATTATTAAAGAATATCGTCGATGCACACTGGTACTGTCACAATACTGATCTTCATAGGGACCTTAAAGTGGAGACTACTGAAAATACAATACAAAAATTTGCCAGTAGTCACCAACACCGACTGCTCCAATATGGAAACGTTGAGGTTATTCAGCTCCTTAACAATGCCCATTTAATAAGAAGACTCAAGAAAACCAAGCCTTTTGAGTTAATTCGGTGATGTTAGATAAAAGTTTTATACGTTAATGGTAGTACAATTAAATAATTAGACTCTAAGGTGCACTATTGAGTAGAAACTTAGTTTATGAAGTCTTTCATCCCTAGATAAGTTAGATAAGAAAAAAATTGCTATTGATCAGATTGTAATAATCGTAAATGATTCTTTACTTATTAAACAAAATCTCAGTGTCAATTTTTAAAATAACTATTTTATATTGGGGGGTGGGTGGCTCAGTGGTAGAGCCTCTGCCTGTGGATCCAAGGGTCCCAGGTTCGAATCCCACCGTTGGCTGGAATTTTTTCATTAAATGTATTTATTTAAAATTAATTCTGCTGCCTTGGTAGGATTCCCCACTCGACCATTTACTGTTGGGTTCTAATTAACAGTGCTGTTCCTAAAGTGGCGCTGGGAAACAGTAACAAAGCCTACACAGAACACGAGTCGAAATAACCTTAGCAGTTGAAGCCGATGACACACAAAAAAAAATATTTTATTTTAATAACATCTAAATTATATTTTTGTACATTTTATTTTCTGTGTTGTCCAAAAAAGTATATTGTACGTATCGCACTTAGATGATCAAGTACTCTGTTTTTGTCATGTGCATGTCCCTATTAAACTTTATTCAACTCATTAAAAGGTATATTGTTAAAACTAATTAAGGAAAGTAAAATGTGATTGCGATGAATTTATGTGCAATAAATATTTCGTAATATCCTTTGTGCTAGCCTTTTTAATTTCCTATAGTATTCAATTGTAGATAATCTATAACAAAACATTCAGATAGTAAAATTTCACATACCTACTTACATATAATTTATTACATCTAATTTACATGCAACAATTTCAAAAATATTACCGGGTAATCCACATTATACTGATAAATATCGCACCGTCTTTGTAAACTATTGGTGTTTCAAATATTAGAGCACTTGATTCTACAACTTTTTATATTATTAAAACAAACCTAAGCTAGGACATTTATTAAACAATGTTGATTACCCAAATATAAAAATTATTTAATAGTCGATTTTTTTTGTAAAAATTTTATTAACATTTAGAGAGCTACAATTACTCGTTCTACATTGATAATATAGTACGACAGTTCTTATTTACTATGCTTTATAGTTAGATTTGCCTTCCACTGATGAATTGAGTTAAACATTGTACATACATATGAAACGGCATAATGATACCTAATTCTTTTTTAATTCTTTTATCCTTATGATCCAATATCATTACTATTTCTAAGAAATGTGTTATTTATTTACTTACGGAATACTCTTATTTTTTTCGAATTGCTCGTTTAATAAGAATTTTACTAATTTGGAAAGTATTTTGTCAGACTTTATTCAAAAACCGGCAAAGCCGCATACTGGTCTTGTTGTTTTAGATCAAGTGCCGATCGTCACATAATTAAGCCTTGTTTAGAGTAGGAACGTCGCGGGTCGCGATGCAATAACGTTGCGTCGAGTGACGCGTCGTCGATAGAACAACCCAGTGTTAGCAAACGCAAACGTTCAAAGTGAGAGCGATCTGCGACGCGATAGCTGAAATATCAATCGCGTCGCTTGACTCACGCTATCGTATCGCGACGCGCGACTCTGAATAAGGCTTAATTATTAGATAATTGATGCAATATGGTGCAAGGTCTGACCAACACAAATCATTTGTATTATCTTTGAACTCACCTTTTTCTATGATACGATAAAGTTTGTAAAAATTAAAAAGCAATTATTGTGTATTTTATTTCGAAAAGTGTCTGCCGTCATCGTTTTCCATTAGAATTTTTCTTATGTCTTATGAATGAGACTTAAAAAATACAATTTTCACAGACCAGCAGGAATAATAAAAGCCGCGAGATGTGCCAACATTAGATACGACGCAGAACGAATGTATGACGTATAAGGCCGCCATTCATAGGACCTTGCTGCTAGGACCTTCAGATATTTCTGTCGTACTGTGCCTTTTCTCCTCTTTCAAAGTCTGAATAGTTGATTAAAGATATGGCGCATTAAGATTAACATCAGCAAGAAAGTTATAGGGGAGCTACTCGAAGTTTTGAAAGGTTAACGTTAATGTATAATAATCTGGTATATTTATTATGAGCCAACGTATATAATGATTAATTTTTTGAATGAAAGTATCAACATTCAATTTAGTTCACACTTAAAAATATTTTCTTCAACCTGACTTAGTCAATAAGGTATAAATAAAATAAACTTAGGCATTCTAAATTAATACTTTCCCTATTTTTTTTATTACACGCTGTAACTTAAATGTTTATATTATTTTATATATTTATAATATATATTTTATAAATACGTTCTTTCTCCTATTCAATAATTACTAAAAAAATTGACGAATCGAAACTACAAACTTAAAGTTTTGATGTAGGTTCTCATAGTACCTTCCAGACAACCTTAACTTTTGTGAAAGTACCTACCTGCAGGTTAAAATGATCTATATTTTAAGTAACATTAATGCAACATTAAAAAATAATAGGTAATTCTATTATTAGAACAAGAACCTAGCTTAAATCTTAAATTAGAATTAAAACACCTGTAAAAAATGTTATTCATAAGAGTTTCTGCTTGTTTCAAAGCTAATATTAACCCATTAAATAAAACCAAAACTTCTTTGTATTATTTCAGGTTGAAGAATTTAAAATATATAAAAAATTGTTTCGGCTTTATTTCACTAAAACAAAGAGATATTCAATTTATGTTTAAATACTTTTATGAAGAATAAAATTTTCTCTAAAAGTTGAAAATAAAAGAAATTTTCCTTTTTTTTTTAGTCCATTACTATTTTTATTAATACCTTAATACGGCTCTGTTTACTTAGCACGGTCAAGTTCTCGCACAGTTTTAATAAATTGAATTTATGTTTATTAGGTATACCAAATTATAACTATTTTATAGTTATTTATTAATTTATTCTTTCACTACAGTGCTTTAGTAAATGTATGCATTAACTAGTGGATGTATACGTTCTCATATTTAATTTATATTTTGAGTAACATAGGTACTTCGTAAATGTATACATTGACTATATAGTGTTTAAGCTTTTACTGAACCATATATATTAACATAATCTAACTAACTGCCATACTATATTATCTAAACTAATTTTAAAACATTGAAAAATATTCATGGAATGACAATTTCAAATAATACTTAAAGTTTTGTACGACTTTGGTAGCACATCAACAGCCAGGTAAAATATTTATTTTGCTGCAAATTAATAGTCACAGCAACTTGTCTGAACACATGAAACAGTGGAACTATTTCTAAGGTCATATTCAATTTAGAGGTTCCTTAAATGACGGGTCCTTCGAACTAGTATACAACTTGATGTCAAACCGCACGACTTCGAGGCTAGCTGCGAAAAGTTGATTGATCTTCTTGGATAGTCTACTTTCTCACTGAATATCTAAAATGGAGAATAAATATACGGTATTTCAGTTGTCCGATAAAAGTAGATAAATATTTGCTTAGTAAATCGCGGCAAAATTAGATAATAATGACGATTGCTCGTTTTCAACTTATATGTCATCAGAGCAGCCTCCTTGATGTAAATATCAAGGGGAGTGAGACCAAGAATGACTTCCATGGCTCTGGTCGGTGTGGTTTTCATGGCTCCTCTGTTATGTTGAGACATATGCTGTTTGAATTTGTTCTAGTTTGCAGATAGCTGTAAATTTTTTGGTTTTTCGGTACCCAGACAACTGCACAGTATGTTAGCATAGATCTTATGATGGCCGTGTAAGTCCATAAGACGATTCTATGGGAAAATCCCAGGTGCGCTCTACGATTACTTATACCCTTACTGGTGGAAAACCTGTTAAATGATTTCTCTGTGTAGGAGGTAGACTTCGAGCATTCGAAGGAGGTAGACTACCAATGTTGTGTTATGTCTACGACCTGTGGAAATATATCCAACGTCAAATATAAATAATGCACCGCTACTGTCTAGCCGAGTTAATTAAAAGCTTCGAGAGCAACAACAGGTCCAATACATCCATCTCTCTCGCACGTGTAAACGACCAACAGTTTGAATTTAAAGAAGGCAGTTACTTTGCTGCGGCAAAAGGTTACGTCATCAAGCTCTTAAAGAGTTCGATAAATCGTTGGTTGGGAGTCGGGATAGTACGTAAATAGTAAACGACTGCTAAAGATCCGGTAGATTGCATTCATGTTTCTTACAATATACATAGCTTCTCGTTCGGTAGATCACATTCGTGAATCTCGCAAATAACATAATTTTCTCATTAGACAGATTGCATTCGTGCTTCTCATAATGCACATAAAGTTTCTCATTCGGCAGCTCACATTCGTGCATCTTGCAAATAACATAGTTTTCTCGTTAGGTTGCGTTCGTGCATCTCACAGATAACTTCATCAATAAGCCCCGGCTCGCTGACCGGGCAGAATCTACAGACCGTTTTTCTTAACATTACCTAACATGTAAAAAGTTGAGGCAACATGCCGTGCTATTATGCAATTTCTAAATTTGGTATCTCAAAAAATGTACATACTAAGTGAATAAGTGTTACCTTGCAATGTGTACAATTCTTTTGTGATATATTTATTGTGACATGCAAATAATTCCATGTTTATTCAATCTTGTTAAATATATGTGAATTGAAGCGTCAAGCCATATTAAATTCACTTCCAGTGACTGAAGACTGAAAGGGTGATTACGGAAATCACATTACTATAGGTAATCTTAATCAAATGATCATTTTCGCTATGATTGTTTTGCCTTTCATCGGTATAAACTTTCAATCCAGTCTCCTTATAAAGAGAAAGTTCCACAAGCTTCGAAAGTGTATATTGGCTGGATAAATCATTCCTTTTGCGGGGGAGGTTAAGTTAAATATGTAGGACTTATTATCAATAATAAACTCAACTAGAAAAAACTATCTACATACTGAGTACATAGCTACATTATCCCTCTGGACTACCAAAAGGATATGCGGCAAATCATGAAGCAGCTGCAAACTGAACTGCTGTCTTTAACAAATCGTGTTAAATCAATGGTTACATACGGATCGGTGTTTTGGTCAAAAGACTACAGCAGACGGCCACAGCAAAGCTGTCTGGAATTCAGTGACTCGCATACCTGTCTATCATTAATACAATTTCAACCATGGATGAAAAATATCCTGGATCTAACATCTCTTCACATTTTTCTACAGACACCTGATGGTTGGTTGTCAATGCAACTCATCCTCGGAATAGTCTCAGACTCGCTATTTCCTCGACAGCACAAAAAATTCCTTCAGCATTCTCATTCCAAAGAAGGCCGAATGGTTCAAATGTAACATCTCTCTCTCTCTCTCTCTCTCTCTCTTTGACAAACTATGCACTGTAAACAGATGAATCCAAAACTAAAAAAGGAGTAGTATTCGGTAACAAGAGTTGATATATTAGTAAACCTAGAAACTATTGCTATTATCTTCCAAACAAAAATGATTACTGTAGAAGTGGGACCAAGAGAACTGGAGAACAGAATCATAAAAATATTTTCGAAGTTGAGAATTTTTCCATGCGAGATAAGCTTCATTACCATTCACCCCAATGTGTCCCTGAACCCAAGTGAGAGTAACGTTCAATTTTTATAGACACTTCCAGATCATTTTTCAACTGATTTTCGGCGGGTATGGATCTGGGTACGTACGCGTATGAGGCAAGCCGAGGACGCATGAGCATGTAGATGTGGACGGGCTTTCGAAGCGCGGTAAATTGTCTCGTTATGTGCACCGTACGGCCTCGCCCCCATCAGTTTGTTGGCGGTACATCAAAATGAGGCACCGTACAGATTATAGCGAGTTTTTAGTATTTGGAAAACGTTTTGCTTCTCCTGGATTTAAATATTCAGCGTGATAACTTTAGAGAGCAAACCGTCAGTTCTATTACAACACAATAAAAAAGAATATCCTTGGCAGAAAATCGGCCATCGATTCCTTTTTCTCCTTTTTTCTTTAATGTGTCGGATAAAATAATAAAACATGCACTTAACTCCGCGAGGTCATCCTCGTCCTTCATTTTAGTTTTATTTTACGAATGTTCTGGGTATACGGTTGCGAATTTACTGGATCAGTGGCGAACAGCGCCTCGTGCGTCCACCATACAAAATGCGTCGCACGAGGCATTCGGTTCGGCCTCGGCTTGCCTCATAAGCGTACGTGCTTAGATCTGTACCCGCCTTAAGAGCTCAACGCTTCGATGGCTGCTTGGCTATTGAACATGATCATAATTTCTCGTCTACGATACTGTTTATCGATGTTGAATTGGCGTGACCTTCCGCTCTGGAGTATTTAAGCAACGGACAAAATCAACAACCACCCGGCCAAATAATATTTAAATTCTCAGATAAGAAAGAAGTAGGATGATAGAAGGAAAGAAGTAGGATGATAGAAGGAAAGTAAGTAGAATTTAATAGAACCTGTGGAGAAACTTTAAAAGTAAGGAGAACGGCAGAAGAGTAAGGTAAACGAAAACAAAACTCCGATGAAAGGAAAATTGTGAATACAAAACATTACCATTATTCCCGAACGTGTTAGCTATCATACTCACCTTCGGACAGACACACAAGTGCTAACTTTAGGAGAACTTCTAGCCACACCAGAGGCATTCGGCACGTTCCGAACCTCATTGACTAATCAAAAGAATATTTCGGGACGCAGACAGGAAGAAAACGAGCTCCAAATGATGGATACATCATAACCGGACGAATTATTTCAAGCCCCAACAAAATTCAAGACGAATTTCATCCAAATATTGTTGTTTTACCCAATTAGAGATAGCAAACTGGAAATAGAGGAATGTGAAAGCACAAAGAAAATTACAATTTAATAGACGCTAAATTGGTGGTTCCACCTCATCTGAATTGAAACCCCGGCCGATTTGTAGCATACAAGAAAATTGATTTTTATAAAATAGGTTTGGGGGCTCTGCGTGATTACAGGCGGTGATTTGTAGGGTGAAAGAAGCAGGTATTGTGAAGGAAACGGAACTGAATAAGACAACACCGTTTCACAATATTGCTAACTGAACAACACTAAACTTTTAAAGAAATAAAACAATTGAAGAAAATAATAATTTTAACTTTGAAAATGTCAATTAACGTTCGCTCGCTAACAGCAAAATGGCGATTCTCTGTCTTTCTTCCCCTACTTGACGGGTTTTTCAGTAGATGGCGATCTGTACGGTACAGTACAGGGGCCACTCGAGGAGCATGCGCGTTAAATTTTAAACAAAAGACTAAAACACGATGAGAAGTATTGAGATGTTGAATTTTCAGGTTTGTGAAACATTGACGTTTCTTAGGCTAAACCACCTAGAAGTTCTCGTCCTTGCTAACCCTTGTTTTTAAGAACCATTCCATGTTCCCTTTTGAATAGAGTTTCAAAATTCATTGAACTTAAAACAATTCATGTAAAAATATTTGCCCCTTAATTGTGTCCATGTAATAATATTTGGTTCTTTTACCCCTTACGCCTGCTCTTATCAAAATAGTTAACCCCATTAACTCTTAAGCCTGTCGATGTAAAAACATTTGGTACTTTTACCCCTTTTGTCTGCCTATGGAATAATATTTGGCCTATTTATACCTTAAGCCTGTCTAAGTAAAAATATTATTTGGTTTGTTTAAGCCTTAACCTGCCGATGTAAAAATATGTGGATCCTTTATTTAATAAACTTCTCAATTTAAAAATATTTGGGCTGTTTACCTTAAACCTCGTTCAAAAATCATTGTTATTTCGCCATCCTGTATGTTATTCACGAAAGAGCTGATATCACCATAATGAAGCCCAATGCCCAACGACAGGAACAAACCTGGTCTAAGACTGCGGAAGGCACTGGGGCGAGAGTATTCTCCAAAAACCCTGATACTAACCATAGGTATGCTATAGGAATACATTCCTCGGTATTTCAGGCCGAGGTATACGCAATTTTGCAATGTGCAAAAACGAACAATGAAAGAGCTGTCGAAAATCAGCATATTCAAATAATGTCAGACAGCCAAGCGGCACTTAAGGCCATATCGAGTCAGAAAGTTACGTCGAGGCTGATATGGGAATGCATCGAAGAACTAAGAACACTGGAGACCAAAATAGAGTAAAACTATTTTGGGTGCCAGGTCACCAAGGGATCGAAGGCAACGAAAAGGCTGACGAACTTGCAATAATAGGGTCACAAGAAACACCGGAACCAGACACAAACCCAGAAGTACCAAAAAGTACAGTCCGGGGTTTCATAAACGACTGGATCCGGGAACAACATATTAACTATTGTAGTTAATATGTTAATAAGCCAAAACAGGCACATGGAAGAGCATTCATAGGCAGACCATGTCCCAAAAAAACTGGAGAACTTACTCTTTATGAATAGGAACCAGTAGGAAAATTGGCATGTACAATGGGGAACTCATATGCCGGCTATGTCACAAAAAACCAGAAACGGCCAAACACATACTGTGCGAATGCAAAGCTCTAGATCGCAAAAGACAGGCTCTTTTTGGACAACCCCAGGTTGATCCAACAACGTATAGAACCCACTCACCCAAGGATCTGTACAAACTTGTACAAGGTACACAGGTGACAAAGTAGGTGTTATGAACTAACATGGGGTAAAATACAATAAGCCAATAGGCTTCAGTGTTATTCGGAGACATAGTCAGACGAGCCCAGGAGAGGAAAAAAAGATGCATACATACGCACACACAGACGATCAGAATATATTTTTTGCGTTCTCGGACTTAAGAGTAGTCGGAAACGTGGAGAAAAGCGGACAATAACGAAAAAACAAAATTCATTAAATGCTACTGAAATAAATAAAGAAGGTCAGAATAACAAATCAAATATTTAGAGAACAGTTAAAGAGGGACCGTTAAGATGGCTAGGATATGTCTGTCGTATAAACAATAAGCTGTAGAAAAGACTACAAGAGGAAGACTACGGAAGACATGGAATGAGGGTGTACAGGAAATAGCAGAAAAAAAGTGGTATACAATTAATGGAACGAAATAAAAGAAAAACAAAAAGAATAACCGAGATGTTGTCATATAACTCTTTTGTTAACTTATGTATAAATAAACTGGTCAATGTAAATTTGTTACAGCTGATGAAAAGGTTGTACTTCGAAATATCTCGTGTATGAATAATTTATTGATAAAACATTTTTCTGAACCCAGCATAGTTTAATGGCGTTCTCCATTGGAATGTTCACTGCGTTCTGAGTATATTCTCACTTCCTTTTTTTCCATATTGATAAACAAGGACAGATATACACAGTGCGTACTGCCAGTGCCAATGTAAAACGCCATAAGTTTTCTACTACTCAAAAATGCTGCGAAGTTTACCTTAGAAGAAAGTGGTATTTCTTCCACGTTGCGATGAACAAGAGTCCCGTTTAAATATAATACATTAGCTGCCTCATCTTCGGGTAAAGTTATAATTCCATAACTAAAAGTAGCTTCCCTCTCCATTCTTTTTAACACTTCTTGAGCTTCTTTTCCCGCTCCCACACATAATAAATCTGGACCACCCATTGTTATAATGGATTTTAGATGTTTTGATTCTGGAACCTGTAACCAAAAATAAAAATATCAATAAATGTACAGCCTAATATCAGTAGAGCTTTCTTTTTTTTTTTGTAAAAAACTACCATCTAACGGAATACGACCTTGATAATTTTCGTTCAATCTACAATTTATTCTTAACGTTCGCGAGTTAAAAATAATGATGCAAGTGATACTGTAAAAGGAGCATTTAAAAAATACTTAGAAAACGTTTTCATTGGCTTTGGGCTCGTTAACCTGGAATAGACCTCGAAAGAGTTCATTAATTTACCTTTAATATCTAAGATATCCGAGAAAAGTGAATCTTTCCACTGGTGGAAGTGACGCCTTTTGGCTAATATCCAAAAGTAGTTATTATTAATCAAATATATATTATATTATTAATATTAAATAATAATGGCTAAAGTAGGGCACGGGATCATTACATATTACAGAACGGAAATTTAAACAATTCAGCTCGTGAATGAATCATCTCTCTACAAATGGAACACAATGCTTTATTGTTCAATTAAAATATTAGATTATAGTATAGTATACGTGAAGAACGATCACTATTTCAACCTCTATGCCAAATATGTAATTTTGTTCAATTAAATTAAATTGTTAACTTATTTATAGTGTCAAGTTAGGGTCAAGATATTTTACAGATAAAAAATTAGACTTAATAATAAAAGGTAGACGATAACCATAGTTCTTTGATGTCTTTTTGTTAAAAATACAGGTATGCCACTGTTTATTAGATGGCAATGACAATATCTATAGTATTTTGTGTTGTATAAGTATAAGAACATTTGATTTTACCTCCAGACACCGTGAACTAATGTGCTATTAAATTCATCAGTTTGCAAAACTTTGTCATATTTGTAATATATTCAGTGACCAACTTTTATAATAATATAGCCGAAATTTCTGAAGTAATCATGGAAAATTATTGTCGAATTCATTGTCGAAATCAAATCGTCGCTCAAAAATATAAATGCAGCAGTTTGTGGATCAAATGACAAGGGAAGAGTCCAAGAAAAAAGGTAATCTTATAAAAATAAGGGGCATTTTCGACGAAATCACCGAAATCATAATCAATTTTAGGTGATTTCCGAAATACGGGTACATTTTGACCTTAGTGGTTTTCCCCTCGAATATAGCTTTTTACATATACGTGCCTAAACTAAACTCTGCATTTTGTTTTCTCCCATGTTATGTTCAAGTGAATATTTACAATATTTTGTTTTGTACACTAATTTGTGTATTGTGGTTATTTGCATTCTGTAATTATTATTGGTTTCTGTTGAGTGGTGTAGAAATAAAAAAAAAATAAAAAATAAGTTAGAAGATACACGGTGACATGGCGTGGTATAATGTCAGAATAATGATGTGTCTGTCTATATTTAGTCTTTTTGCTTTTAACTGAAGTAGTTTAATGTTGCAATTTTTATAATACTCGAATAATTAAAAAAAGTCTTACCGCACCTTAATAGGCGTACAAGGGTACTCAGGGAATGCAGCCGCAACGGCCCTAGCTCCTGCTTCATTGGTCCATTGTGAGATTCCAACAAAAAATTCTCGACCTGAAAAGAAAATTAACAAAATTAATATTCGTTTCATGTACAAGATGATTTTCAATATTTTGAATATTTCAGAATATAGAACTGTCATAAAAAATCAAAAAACACATCAATTTTTTTGGGAGTGGCGCATCTTTCTATTATATTCTCAACTGTTATACGCCATTCCTCTCCTCTCCGTAACTCTAACCATCACAATTTAAATAGGGAAAGTACCAAGTATGATACATACATCATTGAAAAGTGTTCTCGTCTCTTGTCTCGTCTCGACGAAACGAGATAGACATTTTCCCTCAAAGACAGATTCGAGACGAGAGAGTGTCATCTCTTGACGAGAATCTCGTTTCTCTCGAGCTCTCTCGAGTAATTAACTTTAATTTATTTTCAATTGCTTATCGTTATTTAAAATTTAAACACATCAGATTTCTAGGTAGTCAAAAATAAAGCACTGTACAATAGGGATTTCCTTTGCACTTATGCTTTTATAATAGCATATTTTTACAGTTTTTTGCACTAAAATTGAAAACATTGCCGCTAGTACAATGAGATAAATTAATCAATAACGCAGTAAAATTGTGTACACAGGCAAAAGGTGAAATTGCAGCAACAGTATAAAAAAAATAACTGCCATTTTAAATTAAAATAAGGGTTACTTGATTTCTATAAATATATCCAAGATTATGTCGGGTGAATTTGTTGACTTGGACATGGATCATGACATAATTTCTGCTCTGAAATACGTGCTCATAACTTCGATCGACGTTAAACGAATTATTTTTATTTGATATATCACATTTGTAAATATAGCATTAATTATTTTTTTCTTATATTTGTATTTTTATAAATAATCACTTTTTTGAGATATTTTTGCATATAACAATGCATATTTCACTTAAAACTGTGCATATTTTCGTTATTTGTAGTGAATATAAATGTGCATATTATTTAAATTTTTATTCATAATTATACATTTATTCGTTTCAAAGAAACTACCTTGTTGCCAGACTGTTTTGCTACCCTATATGAATTAAACAAGTGGTATTTTAGAAATTGTAATTATATCTAGGAATTTATTCTTACCTGTGAATAATACATCTCCGCCTTCTAATCTAGCTTTAGCATCCGACATTTCAATAATAGGTAAATCCAACTCTTTCTTTAAAACTACCCGAATAGTTTCTACCTAAAAATAAGAGAAATGGTTACATAAATACATAAATCTGAAAAAAATAACGCTATAATAATAATATTTAAAAATTATACTGAGCCAACGTTTTTGGTGTCATAAGATACACCTATCATTAAAATAAACTTTGCCAGTGGCATACGGCATAAGTAAGTACCCTTTCATCCTTTTTAAATTTTACGCAACTCTCCGAAAACTTATTTGAACTAAGTATAATTTTAAATCTTTCTATATTTTTTAAATAAATAAGACTTTTCACCTTTGAGTGTGAATATCTCGAACACCAATTACTTTATGAGTTTCCAATAAGAGTACATGATTTATTTAAAAATATCAAAAAATTTAAAATTATAGTCTAAGTAAGTTTTTGGACAGTGGCGTAAAATTTGGAGGGGATGAAGGTGTTACTCATCCATATCGTACGCCACTGGAAAATTGTATTTAACTGATAGGTGAATCTTGTGACACCAAAATATTTTCAGAAATTAGTGAAATTATACTGAGAAATTAACGAATTATAGCCCATTAATAATGTTTGAATTTTCAACTTTATTTTCGGAACGTAGTAATATTTCATTCAAGCATGTTTCGTTTAATCGTCTTATTTTTAATCAGAGAATCATCAGTTTTTCAGTGTCCCATTCTCAAAGAGACACTCTGTATATAAGATGTACCAAAATACGAATCTTCTTGTACAAAAAAAATACAACATACAAGATGCTGTTTTTATATACATTTATCATTTATTATTATACCGTTCCTACATAGAAATTTTAAGATGAAATGATAATAATTAGTTCAAAAATTTGAACTTCAACTTATGTATAATATTTCAAAGAGCACAAGATAATGAGCTAATAAAGAAATGACCGATTTACAAAAATAAAAACTTTTACAAAAGTATGTAAAAACAATTAGGTATGTATTTAATTTCATTGATTTATTAATCGTTTCAAATATTATTCTAATACATGATTAATCATCGATTACATTGATCCATTCAACAATTAAAAATATGTAGTAGGATATTTCATTTGAATCAAATTAATATAAATTGCCTAGCTAAATACCCTGACTATCATTATCTCAATATATTAATATATTTTTAACTCTAAGGCAAGGCGCACATTGAAACGCAGGTTACATAGGCGGTGCAGAGCAGCAAGGTGATGGCTCAGAATTCTGTGGTGATAGTAAAGAGTAATCCACAAAAAAAGTTTCAAAAGTATAGGTCATCATCGACAAATACATAGATGTGAGTCATGTCCGTGATAACTACAAACGGCTCTGAATTAAATCCAAGCTGCACTTAAAAAGAAAAATTGTACGCTACGCTTTGCTCGGCTCTGACATACGTGAATTTTCAAAAAGCACACTTTAGAAACATTTTTTTTTGTGGATCACACCATATTCTTGTAAAGTGTAAAATATATTTTAATTGCTGAACTAATCGATTTGAGTTCCGAATCTGTTACAGAATTCAAAACAAATATCTCTATATTATTAGCATCATTCTAAATCGCATCTTGTAAGTTTTAATCTCATACAAAACCGATTTACAGCCACTTTTACTGAGTAGAGAGTTATTAATTGGACATGGTCTATCCAAGTCTAAAATTTAACCAATCTTTATTATGACATCTAAGCTAATTACCGCGGATGAATTATAGTCAAAGAATTTCAAAGAATAAAACACAAGCAAATGAAGAAGATAAACTTGCTTCCGCAACCCCATCGGGATAACAGGCAATATATTAAGAGGAGTATTTACTTGGCTGTAGAGCGGAGCATGCAAGGGTTTCGTAGTACCCCACTTTTAAAGTTTATTTTTGACTTATTCTGAAAGAAAAAAATATGTACGTGTAGGTAAAGGATAAATCTATGCTCCTCTGGAAACACTTTTTTAAAATTTGATACAGTTTTTTCTAAAAAAAAAATACAAAACTCGACTTGTTTTACCCATTTTCTCAATTTTTTTTAGAAAAAACTAAATTGAATTTTGAAAAAGTGGTTCCAGAGGAGCATAGATTTAACCTTTACCTACACACACATATTTTTTTATTTTAAAAATAGTCAAAAATAAACTTTAAAAGTGGGGTACTACGAAACCCTTACATTGCAAGATTTTTCATCTGGAAAGTGGCGCCTCTGTTAGATTTTTAAGAAATTAATATTTGGAATGAAAACAATTTATAATATATTTTACTGATGTTTTACGAGGGATGAATAAATTTTACGTATTTGTACACCTTATTTTTTACGTAATTTATTTCTTTAATACTAAGATTGGCATATATATTATATGCAAGGGTTTCATAGTACACCAATTTTACGGATTATTTTTTAATTTTACTAAAAGAAATTTTATGTAAGTACAGGTAAAGGCTTAACCCATACCTCTCTGGATTTACTTTCAAAATATGAATCAGTCTATTTTGAAAAAATCTAAGAAAAGAAACGAAAAGAAATAGAAATGTTAAAAAATGCTAGAAGAGAACAATATATTTAATTTTTTCCTACAGGAGCATTTATTTTTATTACAATAAAAATAGAAATACGTTAAGAGCTTTTTCATCTAGAAGGTGTTACTAACAAAATATATATCTTTTTCTACTATTTAGTGAGTGATTTGAATTCATGTTGTTATTTTTTACATACAGTAATGTCGCTCAATTATATTAAATTAATTTTATCATTTATTTATTAAAAAATATATATATTTATATACGAAATTGGAAGGTATACACTGAGATGTGAATTATATGTTTTTGTTTAATGAATACTTCTTCGGGTCAACAATAATTATTAATTCCAGCATGTTAATATTTTTTCAATCCGTTAAAGTAATGTAAATATTTTTTCTTGCTTTCGCGCATGGCTTTGATTTGTCGCACCCTTTGAGGCGCGTTGCAAGAGAACATTTTCTAAAAAGTTAGCCAATGTCTATAAATGAGAAAAACGATTGTGACAAGCTGATTGTGCATTGTGGCACAATAGAAGACGGAAACGAGTCACTGCTTTAAAATTTGGAGAAATTTGTAAAAAATCTCGTAAAATCTTTTATTTATTTCTAAAGCCACCCGATATGGCATGGATCATAAATTCAAAACAAAATAAGATTTGGAAATTTATTTGCAAGTAGAAGTTTTTAAATGTGGACATTTTATTGAATTCGAATTTGATTATGTTGCTGCCAGTCTGGATGGAATTAAAAAAAAAACAAAACTCTATGATAGAGTTAAAATGCCCATATGGAGCTGAAGTGCGGACTGTAGCAGAAGAAATATGCAGTAGAGAAATAACTTTTTGGAAAAAGAACAATTCCATTAAGGAGAACCACTATTGGTATTTTCAAATTCAGGGCTAGCTGCACATAACACAAATGGATTTTTGCATTTTGTGCTTTTGGACTTCTGGAGGAATAGAAGTGAAGAAAATATCTCATATTGACAGCTTCTGAGAAGAAAAGATACAAAATAAAATTAAAATTTTTTATATGCAATATGTCTTGCCGGAACTTGTTGACAGCGAAGCAATAGAGACATGGAAGTACGAGACAGAATATTAAATAATTCGTGAGAAATTTTGTTTAATGTTTATTAACATAACGCAAGGAATCTTAAATTATTTTGAATATTTTTATTAATTTTAGAATTACATTTTATTTATTTCTAAAACATGGTAGTAGACGATCCATTTAAGATATGATTAATGTCTTATTATTATATTACACTATTTTAAATTTAGGATTTTACCAGTGGCAGTGGTAATTGATGATAGGAATATAATTATTATTATTACACCAAATGTTTTAAAAGGCTTCACCAACTAGTGGACCACGCTTTTAAGTCCCCAAATAATAGTTTCAAGATTTTGATTCGGATTAGAAGTTTTACTATACAGGGTTTTGTGTCAAAGCCAAGTCATGTAGGTATTGTTATTGTAATACGTAGATGAGTAACTATGATCAATATAAATTTAAAATTCAAACATAATTCTTTGTAACGACGTTATTTATAACGTTATTAACTTCATAACGGTCAAAAATGTTAGTTAACTTATTTAATTTTAAATATAAATTGATTTTAATTTTAACTTAGAAATTTTCGAAAAGTTCCCTATATTGTTTAGTTGTTGCAACTTTACTGCGCTTAAGTAGCGTTCAGATTAAAATATGAATTTATGGAGCCTAACTGAAAAACAGAAACTAATGCTTTCATTCCAAAAAAAGTATTATGGCCAATAAAAAGAATTTCGAATTGTGATATCTGCAAGTCCTTATTTAAAACCTTTAAATTTAATATTATCATTATACAAGAGTTATTTTTACAAATTGATACAAATATCGAACATAAGTTGGTTGACATAAACATTATTTCCATAATACAAATAAATATATCTCTGTTAAAGAATACTCATAATTTATTTAATATATTCATTTAAACATGTTTTTGTTTTTTGACTGGATGATATTGAATACTAACTTTTTCTATATAACTTCTTATCGACACATTGTGAGATAAAAAAGCAGACAATTAATTAAAAGCGTACTCACAATTTCAATGCTTGTTTCCCAAATTATGAAAATACTAAAGAATATTAAAAAAAAAATAAAAAGCCGATTAAACAATGTGTTAATATCCAGAGAAGAACATCGTACTTATTTTTTAGAAACGAAAAGTAGTCAAAAATTGTGAAAATAACAACATATTTTTATTTCACAAAAATAATAAGTCAGTTTTTGTTTTTTATGTATATCATATCATTTTCAAGGCAAGAAAACAGAAGAAAAGTCACCGAATACCGATTTCAAAAAGGTCTATTAGTTTTTATAGGAAATGGAAAGAGAAAGAACGCTTTTTAAACGAGTTAAAATTCTTTACTAATTTCGATAACTATAAACGGATTAAGGTATTTTGTACCGTGTTAAAAAATTTAAGAAAATTTTTGAAGAATATTTCTTTTTTTTTAAATTAGTAAACTTTGACAAACATATA